TTGAGTACACTTTACTTAGCGTTACGACTCGAATGGTCTCGTACTATATGAAATTTTACTCTGATTAACGTTTGACATTATTTTCAACTTATGAATCTTTTTATAACTGTCAACAAACTTACAAATCACATGAAAAGAGAATCTAAAACCAATGTTTATTAATAATTACAATTAACGCGTACCTAATAACACCCACTTATATTAAATTTACATTTTTTGGCTCGTGCTGTCTCTAACAATGTCAGTCAAAATCAATTTGTTCACTCGACGTAATTTGACATGGAAAATTAACACAAACAGCGATGTTTTGGCCAAAGTCAAATTTAAAAGTTACGGAACAAAATATTTCATATTCTAAATCCCTATTATTGCTACATGAATTGACTTTGGTGAATTTGAATTTGCTATTTAACTAGAACAAAATTTTTACATCTTTTAATGACCTTTAAACTCATGCATTCCATTTAGAATGTTGAAAATTAAAGAACAACCTTACTAACTCATAATATAATCCAAAAAGGTAATGAATATGCGCCACATCCTTAAATCATTGAACAATTTTGAGATTACTTTTCTAATTGCTTTACTTGAGGCGTTCGTATTAACCTTTTTTGTTTGAAGTGGAAGCACATTCCGAATAGAACTGGCATACCAACCAAAAAACTCTAGCTTAAATTTTGTAGTACACTAAATTTAGTACGAAACATCTTCCACCTCTTCGCTTTAAAAAATAACAAAAATTTTACTTACCTGACCAATCTGGCATCTATCTCTCTGATACAACTCTTATTCCCTTATTTTTTTTTGTACTTGTAAGACTTTTTTTGAAATTTTTGACAATCAAAAGTTGTTCTCCATCTCAACTGTCAGAACCTGAAGCTGCTCATGCTTCGATTTTTTTTTTTTTCTTCTTTTTATATCACAACTTGCACAATAGACTATTTATTATAGCCTTGCATTCCGACCAAATTAAACCAAGTGCTCAAAACAAGGAGTTTATGTATAACGTTTAAAAAAATACAAAATTTTGGAAAAAATACAATGTTACGAAACTGTAAGAAACAATGAAAACATCTTACTTGGTCTGTTAATATTATTCGATTACATCACACTCACTTGCAATTTTCCGTAAATGTAACTGCATCATTAAAAAAAAAGATGACTACTACGTCGTGCAGTTATTTCCAGAAACGAAAATTGATACTTAGCTGTTCCTAGGTCTACTATTAATTAGATCCACACACGAAAGTGAACGTCAAACATACATCCTACTTTATTACAAGAATCCGTGAAATGATACATTAGTTTTTATGAAACAAACGATGCAAAATCCATCAAACAGTGGAAATTAAAACCGGGTGTCTTTTCAAACTTGGGCTGGTAACTTCTTCCGAGAGATGTTGAACCTAGTATTTTGCTACTATAAACTGCTGTGTTGGTATGTTGGGGTAGATTAGATTTTTTTATTTTAACATGACGATCTGACACAAACACCTCCTCGACAAGCTTCATGACCCGACATTATCAACAAGAAGGCATGCATAAAACACAAGAACTTGGTTTTAGACATGCAACATTCATTACTCGTTTGACAAAACTATCAATAAAAATAAATTGTGCAGCAAGTGCAACTTGTGTCACACAAATAACAAAAATCGTCCTCTTATTCCAAGCTATGTCCCCAAGACATTTTTGTTATTTGCATAACTCAAGCTACCTTTCCCAAATTTAATTTTATTGTCAGTTACGCCAAACCAGCCACGAACTCTGAATAATGTGAATAGCTGAAAGTGGAAAGTAATTAAAACCTGTGCAATAACGAAAAATTTGCAGAACATCTTCCGATGCCAAGACATTATTTAATGTTCTTATTACAATAATAAAATTTGTAGATTTCCATTTGTTTTGAAGGACGGAGCACTGTATCGAAACTTGTGAATAAATTGTGTTGTAACTCAATCACCTTCAACTTTTGTTGAAGCCCCAGTTTCGGGTTCAATGATTTTAGCTGGAATTATACTTAAATTAGGAGGCTATGGTATAATACGACTTATAGTTATTTTTTCTTTAATTGGGATAAAGATTAATTTATTTTTACCTCTCCAAATTGATTAGATTATTAGGCTTAAAAAATCCATTTCTTTTGATCGTAACTTTCACAACGCATTAGATTCTTCTTTAACAAGTCACAACCGAAAGAACATAGAGAAGTATATAAATATTCTAATCAATACGAAAAGGTAACACAATTAAAGTACAAAGAAAGTTAAGTACAGCACGAAGTTACTCGAAAAAACATTAAACCTTGCATAAGAGTAAGCAAAGCTAAACAAAAAATCCATGTTTAACATTATTTCAACAAAAGGCTACTCAAAAACAGGATTATCATTATCGCAAGCTTACATACAAAACGTTCAATTCATTTTTCACTTTTTCCTTGCCGTACATACAAATAGACGAAATCATTAAAAAATTTCGACCATTATTTAACGTTAATCTTAACGAAGTAACTTAGAACAAGACAAAATTTGGAACTATCCAAACTACTTCACTAGAACTAACAATGTCATCAACAATACAAAATTGTGTTGTTGAATGGCATTTCTAATTTAAAAGAAGTGGTTTAGAATAGATAAATTCAAAACATGTTCTGAACACCAAAATTTGGCCTAGATACAATATTTACACTTTAACAGCGGTACATGAAATAAAAATAATAGCAACATATAGAAAGCAAAAAAAATGCAAACTGTTGCATAGTAGCTGTAAGAACAACAATGGCGATGCAATCCGTCTGAAGGACGCTCCGCAGAAACGTTAAAGATGGAAAACAATAAACATCTGTTGTGTACAATATACAGAACTTTGTTTTTCATCGCCGAAAATAACCGTTTTGACAAAACCGTGTTCGTCATTTTTCATCACACCAACATGCCAAGATAAATTAACAGAATATGACACTTACGTCAATAACACCATCATAAGCGCCTCAAATAAAGGTAAGTCCCATAAATAACTACCAGCAACGGATCTTGAAATTTAAGTTTGCTCGCTTCGGGTGAAAGAAGCATTTGTAAAATACAAATAATGACCCACAAATTAGCGAGAAAACTAAATCCCAAGAATCATAGTGATAATTTATTTACAATACTTACTAACACCCAACTGGTGTTATTGCTTAAGAGTCTTTTCTGCACACAATAAAACCCGCCGAAACGAAAAACAACTTACCATTCTTCACAAGAAACGTTTTGTTCAATGAACACGCCAGAATTCCCAATAAAAAAATTATTGGAAACAAATTATAAACATTCATCAAAACGAACAAAAGATGACACGAAGTTGTCAATAATAATTCTCGATTAAATAAACGCAGCTGATGAAACCTTATCAAGTGATGTATTAAACAGTCGGAAATCTTAAAAGATTTAACAGCTGCATAAATAAAAAACCCATGAATGGTAAAATTCAAAAATTTTGTAAAATTACTACCGTAAGAAAATTTGCGGTAATACAGATATACCCAGTTTAACCAATCATAATTCACAAGCACTGTAAATGACAGCTTCACTAATCAGTGTGCTGCAATAGCTTCGTCTTCAATCGCACCCATGATAGACAAGAACTTGCAATTTCCTATAGCGTGACAATTAGCTGCAAAAATAAAACGATTTTTATTTAATGCATATGCAAATAAAACTCAATGCATTTACATTAAAAATCTTTAATTTTTGCTGCTAAAAATGGTCACGCAACGGTGAACTGCATTTCTTGCGTAAACAATACTTACAAGTCTAATAGTATTAGTCTTGTAACTTGTAGTTTGTGCAATAAATATACACAAATTACAATTCACAAGACTAATATTATTCGACTTGTTAGTATTGTGCAACAAACCCCAAATCAGCGACTAATCGGAAATAATTCACCGAAAAGCCGAAATAGAAACAACAATTAAAAAATAATCGTTGGATCACAACAAAAACCGAAAATAACAAATTCCAACAATTATAAATTAATCGTTGAGCGATAGCACCAAACGCAAAAATTTCGAACACCAACAATTATAAATTAATCGTTGGAAATGATCACCGAACACAAAAAAAGCATCAGCAATTAAAAAATATTAATTGTTGAAAATAAACACAACACAATGAACGAAACAACTGTTTCGTTCGTTACATAAAAAATGTTTTGTACAACAATACGTTGACAAAACAAAAAATCAACAATACATCTGAATCAATAACATGCGCATTAATTTTCGCCAAAATTACGAGGTATCTTAAAACTATATGTACAAACAACAAACCTTAAAAACAAATCAGGCGTCAAACAATGACTTATTTTTTAAGAAAAAAAAAACTAGTCTTAAAATTTGTCGTTTGCACATAGGGGCACCTGGATGTCTCATTTATCATAAAAAAAATTACTTGAAAGCTGACTGGCTTGATTGTTTCACTTATGGACTTACCTTTTCGTAAAATAATGTTTAACCCGGAACACAATTTATTTCGTCCATTATCCAACGATGAAATCAACTAAAGCCAATGAATTTTTAACACAAATTCTAATAAACGTCCAAAAAAATACGTTCGATTAATTGATTAAACTGGTTAAAAGCTGGAATCAACACAAATCTTGCACTCGGCAATTTCGCCGACTTCAGTCGTAAAAAATAAACGATTAAATCTGGATTGTTTACCTTCTAGTTCTTCAATATATTCACGGGGTGCGCGAAATTACGTAATATTGATCTAAAATTTAGTGCTCTTGATAAACAAAAAAGAAACCGCTCATTTACACTTCCGTACAGCGTTACCAAAATATTTTCTAAGCCCGAAAACCTAGTCACGAAACAATTAATAGCGACGAAAAAACAAATTCAATTCGCGCTCTACAACAAAAATAAAACGACAAAGCAGAAACCAAGCCAGTCAATTCCTTTGTACATCCGGATGCAGAAAACCACAAGACGGTAATATAAAAAAAGTACTCACGGTGCTTCAACTGGTGCCTTGCCCACGCCAGACGGGCCTGGTTGATCATCTGCACTAGTCGAAGGTGCTTCTACATAATCAGGTTGATCGACGTCTTCACTATCTTCCTCCTCCGCCTGTAAAAACAACCGTCAATCTCAAAACAATTCTAAAAAAATATACCACAAACCTTCGTGATTTGCATGGCGGCATCTAAATCATCTTCCGTTTCTTCAATGTCTTCTATCGGTGCCTTTTTTAACGCGGCGGCACGTTTCGCCCTTTTTGGTGTGGGCTCATCAGTCATTTCAGCAATAGACCCCGAGGGCTGAAAGAATACAAAATAAAAAACCTGAAGAAAGAAGACACTCGAAGGCTTACCTCCCCAAACTCGAAATCTTGTTGGTAAGGCAACTGCTGCTGTTGCAATATGTAATTTTGGGCATCTACGCCCATATCGGGGTTGTCACCTTCGACCCTGGAGTCCGCCGAGTCGAAAGTTTCTTGCTTTACCATAATTTCGGGTTTGGCATTTGCTAAGGGGTCTTTCGCCGCCGCTTGAGATATTGTACTTAAACCAGATTGACTTAGCCATGATATTAGTTGCTTTTCTGAATCTACACTCGTGTTGCGGAAGATATACAGCATGTCTAACTTATAGGAACAGCCATCACAGATCTTTTTCGGTAAGTTGTCATCGCGGGACACCTAGAACAAGAAAGTAAAATTAAGAATAAATAAATTAATACCACAGCGCAAAAAGGGGATCGATTTAAATATAATGTGTTGATATGTGATACATAACATTTTCAAAATTTTTACTCCATATTAAAAAATCTATATCATAAATATACTCGTATTTTCAATTTTTGCTTTTTTGAAATCAGCTTTTCCGAATGGTAAGGTTATATAGTCATCGTAAAATTATCCCATTGTGTAGAAGTTGTTTACAATAAAAAAGGTTTTAAGGTCGTAAATAACGTGTCCACTGCAACTCTACCTGCTGCTGTGGGTTCGTTCAGGGATGACTTTCATACCTGCAGCCACAAAGGGTTCGGAAATAACCAGTCGCTTTGACAGCCGGCCCTGTTAAATGTGAGCAAGAAATGTTTAGACCACACAAAGGAGGTATTTATTTGCGGTCAACTACTTTTATGATGGTCATATAACCTTATAGCTTTTGGGCTACTTTCCCCCCGGGGCCATTTTTTCGTGAGTTACCAGGTATATTTTTATCTACGTAGTGTCCAATAAAAAATAAAAGTGTCGGCAAACTATTACACCCAGTGAAAGATACAATGTGGACAATATTTTCTCCGATTTGAAGTCGTATATAAATTTAAACCCATCAGTGCTGCAGTTTTACTACCAGCCATAAAACCCAAAGCCCTGCCGCCATAAAGCCAACATTTGAGCGGAAACTGTGCGTTAACAATAGATAGAGTATATTACATCACAAGCACCTGCGCAATACAGAGCGTTCAAACAAACAAGAGACGCCACGCTGGACGAAAATGGCGGTCAAAAAACTAATAAAGCGCCAACTTTGTTGGTTTGGTAAATTTTGAAGGTTCACACTGTATACAACAGCCGACTTAAAAAAAACGGATATGGAGTTCAGCACGTAATCAAGAGCAACAAGAATATTTCGGAAAACTTTTTTGGCCAGAGAAAGCACGAATTTTTAGTTTTTACGCTAAAAAAAATTTATTTGTAATGAGTGAGGTGAATTTTTTCGATCGAAAATGTGTGAAAAGGGCGGCCATTTTTAACGCTTGTGAACAAACAAGTGAAGGTCAAACGAGTTCCCCGCCCAGATACGCAGCGCGTAACGTTAACACTCTGTATATTGATTTTCTTCCCAAGACCCATAAAACTACCGCAAATTCATTGAAACTCCAACATCAAAGACCAACTCGGACCTTATCTTTTTCCAGACGGAAACGCAGAATAAACAAAAATGACGAAAACGAGGTCATTGGAGGGGACCGGGCTTGGCTTGAAACGCACTAGGAGTAAACAACCGTAAAAATGATTAATCCGGTTTGAAAATACCGCAAAACGACGTAAAATGTAAATATTTCCAAGTACTAAATAGACCAAGCCATGTAAACAATAATACGATGTCAAATATGGGCTGTCGAATATCAAGAGGAGTCAAACATAAATATGGCGGAACGACGCCGACTTACCTTAACCGGCAGACACGAATTGATTTTCACAAAAGTCTGTCCAATTTCACTACTTCCATCAAAGATTGGTATGTTAACTTGGTCCTTGACTAAACACAAACGACACAGTTGCGAAATGTCGTCGACGCTACCCATTTTTGAAGAGATTTCTTTGTAAATTCATCGAGACTCGAAGCACAACACCGCCCGCATCGGCTGCCAAGTGAGAAATGGGGAGGGCGGAAGCGTGACGTCGTAGCGTTGCTTCGAGCGGAAACGAGGGTGGAGCATTGTGGGAACGCGCGAAATTTAACTCGTGAAAGCAACACTGGAATTTTACTTTTGCTTCCTTTTACATCTCTCAACTCTAAAAGCTAAAACAAAAACAATAATGGACGGAATAAGATCTACAAAATTGTTAATATGTTGCTTTATCCTGTGTACTCAACTTTGCAGTTTTTAGACTAACAAAAATCAAAATAGAATTCAGCACATGTCATGATTTTTATATTATTTTTCTATCGATCCATATAGCGAAATGTTGAAATTTTAAGAATGTTTTTTATTGGAATATTATGTCATTACTCTCGAAAGTCGAACATAACAACTGTGAGCACTCGAGCGGAAATTGTGGACTAATAGGAGCCTAAAGCTATATAACCAGTAATACTAAGGTCTCGTAATGTAGAACGATGAACCAAAACAAAACGCAACAATTTAGGGTCATGCAATAATATTTGTTCAGATATCATATCTGGAGAGTTTTAAATAATCTTTGTTGATAATTATACAGTACAACCACAAAAATTGAAAAAAACTTGACAAAGCGGTCCTAAAGTCAGTCAAGCTAAATTTGAAATTTGTGGTTCATTGAACATATTCATGAAACATGTATAACACAAAAAATAAAGGGTAAAGGGTAAGTCAAAAGGAATCCAAAATGTTATAAGTTGTTTGTGTGAAAATTTGAATTTTGTAAAATAAAAACGTACAATTTTTCACTTTTTATTACATAACTACACAAAATTAAATAAATAAATACTATATTTGGCATAAAATAAACTTAAAACTACAAATATTTAAATTTAAATACTTAATAATACAGTTTCTAATAAAATACTTCTAGCAAGACGGAACTTTACATAAGTCTTTGAATTCGATACAAAATCATAGCCTACAGGCAGTATCTGACATTCGGAACAAAATTTAAATGCAACAACCAAACTAGAAACATTTACGGTGAACAATTCCAGGACCAGATTCGTCGTACTCTTGTTTAGAAATCCACATCTGTTGGAACGTAGACAACGAAGCGAGGATGGATCCACCAATCCAAACGGAGTATTTTCTTTCAGGAGGAGCTATTATTTTGATTTTAATAGTTGAAGGTGCTAGCGCTGTTATTTCCTTCTGCATTCTATCGGCAATACCTACGAACACAAGTTAACACAATTGTGACCAATAACTATGATATAGTACCTGGATACATGGTAGTACCACCCGACAGAACTGTATTAGCATACAAATCCTTTCTAATGTCGACGTCACACTTCATGATAGAGTTATACACAGTCTCATGGATACCGCACGATTCCATACCCAAAAAGGACGGTTGGAAGAGAGCCTCCGGACAACGGAACCTTCAGCAACTATATTAGTACCACAAGCGACAAAACCAAATGTTCCATTACCTTTCATTACCAATGGTGATAACTTGCCCATCCGGCAACTCATAACTCTTTTCTAAAGAGGTAGAAGCCGCCGCTGTCGCCATCTCCTGCTCGAAATCCAACGCCACATAGCACAACTTCTCTTTAATATCCCTCACGATCTCCCTTTCTGCCGTGGTAGTAAACGAATACCCTCTCTCAGTCAAAATTTTCATCAAATAATCCGTAAGATCTCTCCCTGCCAAATCCAGTCTCAAAATTGCATGCGGGAGAGCATACCCTTCATAAATCGGCACAGTATGAGACACCCCATCCCCAGAATCCAAAACTATTCCAGTCGTACGCCCAGAGGCATACAGCGACAACACAGCCTGGATTGCCACATACATAGCGGGAGCGTTGAACGTTTCGAACATGATCTGGGTCATCTTCTCGCGGTTAGCCTTAGGGTTGAGTGGGGCTTCAGTGAGGAGAATGGGGTGTTCTTCAGGAGCCACTCGCAGTTCGTTGTAGAACGTGTGGTGCCAGATTTTTTCCATGTCGTCCCAGTTGGTGATAATACCGTGTTCGATGGGGTATTTGAGGGTGAGGATACCACGCTTACTTTGGGCCTCGTCGCCGACGTAGGAGTCCTTTTGGCCCATGCCCACCATGACACCCTGGTGGCGGGGGCGGCCTACGATGGACGGAAATACGGCACGGGGGGCGTCATCGCCGGCGAATCCGGCCTTGCACATGCCGGAGCCGTTGTCCACGACTAGGGCGGCCACGTCGTCGTCACACATGATGGGAGTTTAATGGTGCTGCAAAAATATCTGTACATAAGGTAATTCTCAACAATATCTCATTTTATCTTTTATGTAAAATTGAATATGGAGTTAAATTTTGGTGGCGCGGTAAATGTTTAATTTAATGACAAGTTAAGTATTCAACTTTATTAAACTTGTCACTGTGTTATCACTTACTTAACTGCCAACTATACTTAATTAATTACTTACTACCACTACTGTTCGTGATACTACGAAACCGCAAGTGAGGACTATTTTTAAGGTCACCAAGCAATAACACAGATAATCCATTTACCACATCGATTTCCAATTCCGTAGCCACCAAATTAACTATCACTACGATAAAAAAATAAACCAAAAACCTGCAACTGCTGGCGGACGCTCCAAAATCCAAGACACCTCTTCTCCGGTCGCACTCACAACGCGCCTCCGACTCTTTAATGCGCCGTCGATCTAGTGGTGGTTGGAATGTGTTAAGACGTTTTTATAGCGTCGACTTAACCCGAAATAACGTAGGTAGCATCCATGTATGGTGTGCTTCGAACATCGACGCGTAAGACGCGCGCCGTCGTCCAAATATGGTAGCATGTCATAAGTCAGGGGGGTCCGTGGGGGCACACGAATTACGCTGCACGTTCGGGTTGAATCAATGCACGTGAGTTAAAAATAGGAGAGTAGTGACCCCCCACAAGCTTGCGTTCTACGATTTTCGTGGATAATTTTGGATGGGAGGGCAAGGTTGTGGAAAGCTTTTGCGGAGATGGTAGACAAGATTTTATGTTAATGACGAGGTTGTCAACGAGATAATATGGATCGGTCTGCATGGATTTTTTTATGGAGATGTGGGTACAGAAGTGGATAAGAATTAATTATTTTGTGGTCATAAAATGATTGGACGATGTTTTTTTGCGTCTTAGCAGGTGTTGCTTATTATAGTTAGGTAACTATTTTAGGGAGTAATGAAATTTCATCACACTAATTTTTCAAGTATTACTTAAGCAGGTGTTTTACTGAGTATCCTAAATATGTTTTATTTAGTTAAGTGGGGGTCTTATATCATATATGGATACCTTTGACTGTAAGAGAAAAATGCCCCTTACAAAGTGTTATTAATGCTAAAATAAGGATTGAACGTTTTGAACAAAAGGAAACTTATCTTGGTTTTTTCTAAATTTCTAAAAACCTAAAGGGTTGGTCGAGTTCCAAATTATATGACTTCTTAGTACAATATAAATTTAAGTGAAAGATAATAACGATTAAAACATGGAAGTACAAATAGTACAATAACTAAAATAACAAGCGATCAAAAAATCCCTTTAGTTTCTCGTTGATCCTCTTTTTTTTTGGGAACGTAGGTCGCAAAGAAGCACCAAATGTAGACATATTCACTGTCATCTATCACATCTGTCATCGAAATTTTCGTTTTATTTCAATTGTTTATGTTCCATTTTTTTTTTTTTAATTAACTTCACTAATTTGGAACTCTTTAACAAAAATATTTGATATTAACTAGTGTTTACTTTCTCAGTGTTCTCAGACGCCATATTCAAGATGGATGTTGTTTAAAGTATGTGACACATTTAGTCATAATCATGACTGATGAATAATTAATTTATATTTAGCCCTGTAAAACTGCGGTTTACTGTTATATATAACATTACTCACACATCCACAAATGTTGCTAAATACTTCAAAGAGTAAACGAAATAAAACAGCTGTGTTAAAATTCTTGAAAACATTGTCATCAGCTATTACATTTAAACAAAGGAATATTCGAGTTTGATGGACAATGCTAAACTAAAAATAATTTGAAACAAGAAGAGAAGATGTCAGTTTTAAAAATACACATCAATGCATTGGGAGTATGCAATCATAGTTACGCCAAAAATATACATTTGATTTTGTAGAAGAAATCCACTTAAACTTAACTTAAGTCCAGGGGCGGCTCATGAGTTGAGAAGTTGATAAGGCAAAGGACAAAATGCTCCAATATCTAAGTACTGAAAAAGTTACATATAAATGAAATTTTAGAAACATTATACAAGCCAAAAACGTGTTATGTGTAATCTTTCCATGCCAGAAAATGAGTTTTTATTTGATTAATTATAATATCATGAATTTCGGAAAAGATTTGTTTCAATTTCTGTTGTTTATCACTCATTTAATTTCGATGTTAAAATATCATTATCAAGTTTTCCATAAATTTTGTTAAAGATGGTTCCTAGCTCTGAGAATATCTGTAACCGAACTTACTTACAATTTGTCATTGCTTAATTTTTAGTTTTGCAAATTCAGATTTCAATTTTTGTAGTTTTTATTCTTACATTTTCAATTTTACAATTTTTTGAACTTTTAACATTCGATTTTTCAATTCGGCGTTTTTTCAGTTTTTTGATTTTTGAACTTTCGAATTTTTCAGTTTTACGATTTTGCCGTTTTCAGGTTTTATATTTTATTTTTTTAACTTTATGATTTTATTGCTTTCGCCACATTTATTTATATATATCGTGTTGACTGAGGATTTTGTAATAGCACCCATTTTTGACTTTTTAAAATTATTCAGTTTTTTGGTTCTACGACTTCTCAATTTTTCGATTTTTATTTTGAATTTTTTAAAGTTTCGATTTGCAATTTTCTGAGTTTTCAGTTTTAAATTTTCGATTTATGTATTAACATTTGATTGTTCGAATATCTTAATTTACAATTTTTCGATTTTACAGTTAGCTCTATTTATCAATTTCTTATGTTTTAATTTTTCGTTTATTCCTTTTCGGTTTCCAGTTTCTCAATTTTTAATTTATCGATTTTCAAATTTTCCATTTGGATACTTTTGTTTTATCGGTTTTTCGATTTGCAGAAACTTTAATTTTTAATCCATTTTTAAATTTTTCATGCCTTCACTTTTTCTATTTGTAGTTTTTCTACAATTTTTAATTTAGCTCTAAAGTTTTTCAAGTTCCCAATTTTTTATTGTTTCATTTTCCCAGATTCTAATTTTGAAATTGTGAACACAAAAACGAATTTATACAACTGAAATTTTCACGATTTCACAGTTTTTGGATTTTTCAATTTCTATATTTAAATGTTTCTTAGCTAATTAATTTTTAATTGCTTTCACTGCCTTTATTTATATTATGTTGACTGAGCATGTTCTTAATAACACCGATTGTTGAATTTTTTAAAATTCTTTAGTTTTCTGATTTGGCAATTTCTCGATTTTCCGATTTTGTTAGATATTACAATTTTTCGATTTGCATTTTTCGAATTTGTTTTCAGTTTTTAAAATTTTCTATTTATCAACTTTCCAGTTTTTCTATTTTATTCTTACTTGAGTTTTTCATTTTTTTCAATTAACAATTATTCAATTTTACAGTAGGGTTTCACGTTTTCTAGCTTTCAATTTTTCGAATTTTTAGATTTTCGATCATGCAAAGTTTCGTTCCTTCAGTTTTTCGATCCGCGATTTTTCGCTATTTTTGAGTTTTATTTGAATTAAACGATTACAACTGAAAAGACGAAAAGTAAAATATCGAAAAATTTAAAAATCTGAAAGTAATAAATTTAGAAAAAGTTAAGTAAAAAGGTGAAGAATCGAAATACTGAAAAATTGAAAAATTCAAAAGCTGCATAATATAAAAATTCAGGAATTTAAAACTGGAAACAAAAACGCAGATCAAAAGGCCGAGGAAACGAAAAATTGAAAAGTCAACATTTAAATTTGAAATTGCAAAAAATTTGCAAAACGAGAAATTGAAAAAAAAAAATTAAAAAATTCTGGGATCTAGAAATTGCAAATCTCAAAAATGAAGTAACCAAAAATTTAAAAATCGAGCAGTTAAACTGGAAACTCTAAACATTGAAATCTAAACACTGGAGAAAGGAAAATTAAAAAATTGGTCGAAAGTTGTTTCGACAGAACTTCCCTCGCTCCTGAGTCTCTTCTTGTGATTTATCATTCCATTCAAATTTTTTGGATTTGCATATACAGGGTGACTGAAAACAATTAATGAATGCGTAAATTTATTTTATTGATTTACTGAGCAACGACAAAACCGAATGATTTGAAATCTTGAAGGTGTTTTAAAGTTAATATCAACATGGTAAATTTTGTTCAAAATGAATTTGCTCACCCCCCCCTAAAAAATTTATAACGTCACCCCAAAATTTTGCTGAATAAATCCTGTCTAAAATGATGAGGCAATACTTGTGATTTATCATTTCATTAATTTTTTTTGGATTTGTATATACAGTATGAATCAAAAAAATTAATGAATGCGGGAATTTATTTTATTGATTTAATCAAGGACTACAGAACCGAATGCTTTCAAATCTTTGAGATGTTTTAAAGTTATCGTAGGCATGGTAAATGGTTAGTCAAAATGTATTTATTCATCTTCCTTAAAAAAATTATGATGTCACCTCAAAATTTCGCTGAATATATCTTATCTTAAATGTCCGATGAAACAATACTTGTGATTTATCACTACATTAAAATTTTTTGGATTTGTTTATACGGGGTGTCGCAAAAAAATAATGACTGAGTCAATTTATTTTATTGATTAAATCAAGAATTGCGAAACTGAATACTTTGAAATCTTGCAGACGTTTTGAAGTTATGGTAAGAATCTTAACTTTTTAATCAAAATGTATCTGTTTATCAACTTCAAAAAGTTGGGTTATGTCATCTCAGAATTTTGCCGAAAAAATCCTTTCGGGAATATGCAAAATATGATCAGACTATACTTGTAATTTATCATTACATTCATATTTTTTAGTTATGCTTATACAAGGTGGCTGAAAAAAATTAATGAATCAGTCAAGTTATTATTGATCAAATTACGAACAAGCCGTGACTTTCACTTTCAGAGTGAAAGCGAATTTATTGAAATATCCCGTCACAGAACTCTAATGAGAAGAATCTATGATCGACATAAAGACACGGTTCTGAAAGCGAGGGAAGTACTGTCTAAACTCTTTGGACCAATTTTTTTCGTATGTTTTGTTTATATTTTTTTTGGAAATAGGACAAAGTTACCCATTATTGAACTCATTTTCTATTACTTAAAAAGGTAGTGTGGTGCCCTGGTGTGAATTAAAATTTCGCATTGAAAAAAAAAAATAAAAAACAATCGTTCAAACTTAGGCAACCATGTGTAGAGATCTTCAGTAGAGTAGACCACCTTACTAGAAAATTACTGAATGTTACTCTTTAAGTTGGTAGTTGGTTATGGGTTTTGATGCGTCAATTGTTGGTGTGACTGTAACCACATGGTGAAAATCAAAGTTAAATTTAGTTTGTAGTTACTTAAAATAACAATTGCTTAAACACAAATTAATCAAACTGACACCACAGTTTCCTTCCAACAAACATAATTACTTTTTAATGGTTTTCTCATTTCAAATTCGTGAAATTTTGACGATGTCGTCAACACGTTGTGTTATTTTTGTTTGACTGTTTGTAAATTCACAGTTCATGTTAAGATTTATAAAACATGTGTCAGGAAATTCACTTATTCAGGCTTCACTCCTTTTTTTATCACGTTCTGTCAAAGTTTCTGGATGTTTGTAAGTATTACCTTATAAGAACTGCGTAACTTTTCAGTTGCACACTTTTAGACTAATTTTAAACGTGGATCCATTTCAGAAAAGGGACCTTGAAATTGAAATAATTATTTTCTTGCAGGTTTATTAACATTTTTGCGGCTTGAATTCGAACATTTATTCACAGCGCAGCGTTTCCGAGACCAGCTTATTGTGATTTTGATCGTATTGAATCTGTATGTGAATGAGCAAATTGATTTATTTAGTAACTGAAATTAAAGCATTATTTAACACACGGTTTCTGGTTAATGTTTGCGGTTTTGTCATTGCCGAAGTAGATGTTGAAATTAGTTTGTGAAAACCGGGTAAAAAATATAATAGAAATGTGAAGTGTGACGGTCAAAATCATTATTATTATTATTGCAAAAAAGTACTTACCTTGAAACTGACAAACGAAATACCATCAAAATGAAAGATATCATACAAAAATTCAAAAAAGTATAATTTTATTTGAAATTAAAGCACAGTAAATAGGTGAAGTAAATTCAGTTTTTGTGGTATTGCTCAAAACACTGTCCAATGCACAAACCCGGTGCGTCAGGGCATTTTGGACAATGATACGAACAATCTCTTCGAATCCTTTTCATCCAGCACACTTTGCAGCGTTTTCTCATAATTTTTCCACCTTCGTTTCGAGTTCCAATTTTTTCAGGAAAATGATTGCCTTCGTGGTTGATGGGGTTTTGGTCTGATGGTTTTGTCTTACGAACCTCTGGAAGAATTTCCTCAAGAACCGCTAGTCGAAATTTGTAGAACGATAAGCGATTTTTGGAATATTTGTTGTATAGAAGGTACGAATTAAACAACAATAATTGGAATATGTGTATTCCGAGCTTTTTGTACCATCGAAGCGTTTTTTGAATAGTAGGATAGTAAGACATCATTTGGTCCATGCGGTCTACAACGCTCATAAATTTGTTATATTCTGCGATAGGTAAGGGTTTCTCTTTTGGGTTTCCCCTTTTTTTTGGGACATCAACTATAGAGTTCCGAAACTCGGTAGATATGTACAACACCTCCGTATAGTCTTTCCACTTTCCAACCATGACCCCGTCCCTGTAAGCTGCAACCGTTTGTCCTTTTTGCAGTTTTTTTGATAAGATTGTTTTCGGAGCGCCCTTTCTGGTTGCACGTAAAGTACCCGTGCAATACGTATCTGCGTCCAGTAATTTTTTGGCTAACCCGTAGCTATTATAAAGGCTATCCATAAACACAGAGTGGCCAGCATTTAGGTAATTACGCATTAGAGTCATTACAACCTTTTCCGCATGTCCTCCTGTTTCATCCGACTGGTCCGTATAAACCATTACGTTCATTACGAGACCTTCACATTCTGCCAGCATGTACAATTTTATCCCGTACTTATGTTCTTTATTTTTGATATAGTACTGTCGAAAAGCGAGACTACCCCTCCATAGAAGCATTGACTCATCCAGTGACAAATTTTTATTCGGGTAATATATAGATGACATTTTATTTTGGAAGTAGTCCAGTATCGGACGAATCTTGTATAAACGATCCGTTGGTGTTTTTTCTCCTTCACTAGGATTTTCGGCAAAGTGAAGGCATTGCAAAGTCAAATGAAAACGATCGCGACTCATATATTGTGTAAAAGACGGAATTCCAAAAAGCCGGTGCGTTTTCCAGTAGTCTTTCAATACATTGCATTTGATTGTGCCCATGTGGAATAACAGACCAATAAATTGTAATAGCTCTTTGTTAGTTAGATTCTTCCAACGAGTAACTCGTGCATGTTCTAAACTAATATTGGAAAAGAACAAATTTTCAGCATATCTGTTGGTTTCAGTAGTGATCAGTTGCAACAAATCGTCGTCTAGTAGCAATCGGAAATACTGGTACGGACTGGCGTCCTCAGGAACATCAATAAGCAACCCTGGCGTTTTTCGAAATTCTATGTCCTTCATTGGCGTAAAAGTGTTGCTCCAAACATCGTCAGCAACATCCAGTGAAGGATCTGAAGGGGAAGTTACATCTGTGGTTATTTTTTACAACAAAAGTACCAGGATTTCTTACCTTCCTCATCAGACGACGATTCTTCTTTAAACAATAAAGACTCCTTAATGTCCACATCGTCGCAGTCAGAAAAATCAGATTCTTCCAACATACGAAACAAATCCTCTTCCCTGAGTACCTCAGGCTCTTCCAGGGCTGCGTTTTCTCTTTTAACAGCTGAAGGGCCCGCTTCAGACATTATGCTATCGCTGTCCGAATATCTCGGAACAAAGGACCCGAATTTCGGGACGCCGCCGGGTATGAAACTATCTAATCCCTCTCGACGTGCTTCTGTCCGCAACGTACACCTACAAAAAGTAGTACTGAGGTATAACTGGTCTATATAAACGAATATGCATCAGACGCACTAGTATGGCATACGCACCGTTGCAACATTTTGATCAAAAATCTGCCATTCCATCGATGTCCCACATGTCCGATGAAAATATTTTTCCAACGATTTAACTTTTTGGAAAAACAAATCATCGATGATCTGAATTTTTGTTCATGCCGTGGTATAATATATACGAATACACAAGCTACGATATAGTAAAACAATTCTTATTTTACTAAGTATTATTAAATATAGTCGGGCACCACATCAGAGTATTCTCAAATTTTCAAAAAAATAAGGTGAATCATTCTTGAATTAATCAATAAAAAATACACATAAGAGTCACAGTTTAAAATAAAAAATTGCCATTCCGACAAAACCCTTTTCTTTGAAAAATTATAAAATCTGATTCTGCGACTTTCGTTCTGTGGTAACCTCTAAAAGCAAAAACCAGTGGTGTAATAACACCCTCGCATAATAATAGATATCTCCAGTTCTCAGTAGGTACAAGCTTAACTTCGACTGTTTATGTTTATACTAAGAATTCGACTATTAAGCACGTTCGGTTAAAAGAAGATGAAGTTTGATTGATTTTGTCCCTCAACGCAAAAGGGAGAGTAATTAATTAGCTAAGCGAACTCAATTTTTTCCCAAAAAGTTTTTTGCGAATCGGTTTTGCAATTTCAAAGTTATATTGTAAAATGTTTGTTATACAGATATTATTTTTTCTGAAAAATCTAGATGTGTAAATTTAAAAATATTCTTCTTACGCACTACAATCAGTAATAGCAATTATCTCAGCTGTCAGTATTTGATTATGTGGATCTTTATTGTTTATTTATTATTATTATTTGTAACAGCATACCTTATTATTATATTTTTTTTCCTTTATTATTACTATTATTATTAAGTTCGCATATATTTGTATTGTTCCCATAAGGACGTTAAATGTCTGTGGGAAAATAAACTACTATTATTATTATGTCTAGGGTAAAAAAAAACTCAACACGGGTTCATAAATCATACATACGGGAGTATGTAATTCTATAAAAATTAAGAAACATTTATTCGTCAAAACTGTAAAATGACGTAATTATTTTTTAAGGGGCATAAACAAAAAAAAAATGATTAACGATTTAGCATCCTTGCGATAACCTCAAAACGTTTCCATGATTTCAGAGCATCCGGTTTCGCAGTTACAAAATTAATTTGGAAAATGTTATACAATTTTGTTTTTTTCCAAAAATTTGATGTCTTGTATCAAAACACACCACTGATTCATAAACTACAGCAGTAGCAGTATCTTATTTTATAAAATTTAAACGGCATTTACTAATATAAATTTTGAGATAACGTCATACTATTGTTGATGGGAATAACAAATTTTGGTTAAGAGTTTTACCACTTCAGATTTTGTTTTAAATTTTCAATTCTACGACTTCTCGAAATAGAATTCAATTCCTACTTTACAGTAAATAAAATATATAAGTCACTGAAATGGAGAAAGGTGGTGGGCAGAGTCTTATCAGCAAGTAGTAGCCCCGCCCACCCACCCCCTCTTCATTCTATTGACTACTTTTAATACTGTTCAGTCTTATCTTACCAAGTACTAGTCCCGCCCACCCGCCCACTATTTTCTTAGAGAGTGTTGTTTGCCCAAATTGATCTTATCTTGGTAGGTATAATTTTGGAAATTTCATTCTACCCTATCAAATTTTATTAGCAATATCAAGACGGACAGAGATATTTACAACTTAAATTTGTCGCGTGCCGGTAATCCCCAGATGTTAGAAAGTAGAATAATCCAGGTCCGGATGGAGACCATCGTTACTCACGAACGAAAATTACCATTATTTTATACCTGCTAAATGATCTCTCACAAATTCGGGTAAACTGGTGTGAGCTATTTCTTACCGTTGTACTACTGTCCGTCTCGTTGTCAATAAAATTTTACAAGGTAGAATGAAATTTCCGAAACTATACTAGCATCACACACACACCCTTTATTTTCTTATTAAAGGGTCTGTCATTTGTCAAGGTCCATCTCTCATTACGATCAGATAAAATGAATCACTGAAACGGAGGAGGGGTGGGTGGGCGGGCCTAATTATATTCTTCTGTCGAATGGGAGTGGAAATTAATAGAATCTAAGACGTGAAAAACGTAAAAAAAGCGCTAATCGTAACCATTTTATATAAAAAAGTAATTTCTTGTGAAAAAAAAATCTTATTTCAGAAGAAAGAAAGAAAAGAGAACGGACGGGTGGGTGGGCGGGGCTAGATTTAACTTTTCCTTACCGAGTCTTTTATAAGTAAGCAATAGCCCCGCCCACCCGCCCCCTCTTCATTGTAGCAACTTCTCTTAATACTGTTAATTAATGAGATTATTATTTTATTAGAATCTTAGGCAAATTCATTAAACCGTTGGTGAGAAAACAAATCAATTGTAAACAAAAAGTATCTTGAAAGTATTAAACTGGTGTTAAATAAGTATACCAGACGTGAAAATCACATTTAAAAAATATTGCTGATGCTCCTCCCATTCGCACAAGCTCCACCTTACTAAATCATTTCCTTGGCCTGGAGATGAAAGGCGGCGTTTACAATTACATCTTGATGTGTCTACATCAGTTTTTATTATTTAAGTAAAGGTTGACGACAAAGTCGTTATAAAAAAATAAAATTTAGTAAAAAATACATATATTTTATTAAAAGTAAAATTGCAATCTTAGATTCTATTTATCTTAGAACCAATAAAATGAGTGATAAAAATAGAGTAGGGGTGGGTGGGCGGGGCCACTTTTTACTTTGTTTTAAATCCTGGATTCTACCATTTGTCAAAACACAATTCAATTTCCATTTTACAATAAATAAGTCAGAGAAATGGAGAACGGAGGTAGGCGGGGCTTTAAGTTTAGCTTTTTCAACAGTCTAATAAGTTTAACTTTTTCTTACAATCTTTTATAAGCAAATAATAGCCTCGCCCACCTACCCCCTCTTCATTCTAGTGACTAAACTTAAATTACTCAGTCGTGTCTTTAAAAGTACTAGCCCCGCCCACCTACCCTCTATTTTTTTTAAGATGCCATTTGCCAAAATTAGTCTTATTTTTGCAAATACTAGCCCTGTCCAAAAAATTTAAAATTTAGTAAAAGTAAAATTTGCAAGTGCTAACAGAACAGTTATTGTTAAGATTCCTTTTTTCTATTGCAATGAGAGATAAGAGGGAATATGGGTTTGCTTAAATTGACAAAAACTCGTCAACTTGTATAGAAAACTTTATTGAATATTATTCCTATTATAACTACAATTATTAAATATACATTAGAATTATTAGTGAAATTAATATGCCCAGACTTTAATCTCAATGACGTATATTAATTAATTATCTAAGTAATTATTACACGCACTATAAACTACTGTCTCGAATGTTATTTTCTTTCTTTGTCTCTATAGTAATACTCCCTATTAATCTATCCTGTGTTACAAAGGGGTCATAATGATTCATAACTGCCCTTCAGCCGTTATAACTACGTCTTTGTAATACCGGTTTTTTTTTCTGTGCCTTTTAAGATGCAAAATTAATTTTATTATTATTACAAATATTGAAGGAATGTTCCTTCCACGTTAAAACTTACTGCACACTGCCTCAAGTTATGCTAAAAATGTGTATTCACGCCGAACTAAACAAAGATATAAATACCTACCTTTCAGTGAATGGAGTTTGTAGTAATAACAAACTTGGCTTTGGCGGTCCTTAAATAACCCGCGCCACGATTTAACGACATACGTACCTTACGATTTCACAATCAAACACGACCCAAGATTGAATTTTTTATTCGGAATAGAGTCGAAGAAAAATTACAACCACAATTAAAAAAATCTGAAAAATCATATCTACATACATTTATTGTGAATGAATTTAATTTGTACACTAATATACAGATATACATTCAGCTTATAAATATATTACATTCATATTACTAATAACATTTGTAATATCATTTCAGTGAGACGAAAAAGCGACGTTCACCACACCTCCTTTTCCTTCATTCACTCTTCTACATACGCTTAAATACAAAAATAGTGCACAGAAGTGGCAAACGTCGCTTTTCCTCGCACTTTAAAAACAAACTGAGGACTAGTTGAATCACAAAACCTAAATTAAAATTGCAACTGTTAATAGAATCTTACGTTCATGTTCTCGTCAGTCTAAATAAGAAAAATACAAATGCTAATTCCGTCATGTACTCGAAATGGAAAAGTAGTACGTCTCAAAGTACTAAGTGGAATGATTGATCAACATTGCAGAAATATAAAATTTGTTTAAAAAAGATTAAATACTACAAAGGTATGTTATGTACACGGTATAAAAATCTCTTTAAACTAAACTATAAAATTAAAAAAGAAAACACCATAATTATATCCAAAATATACAAATAGCTAATGTAGCATGTCAAAACATTAAAAATAATCAGGTACTTCCCACAGAGACGGAGACGCGACAACGGAACGCACTTAAAAAATCATTCGATAAATAATAAATAAATTAAATCGAAGCGTCTTCGTCTCAGTACCTCCATTTTTGCACAGATCGTGTACGTACATACATACAGAACGACACTTATTAGATATGAGTATTAGGACATTGAGGGTGATATGCGACACCTATGTATACTTTAAAAATCACTGGAATAAAGATTCGAATTTTCTCAAACCGCCGACACTTGCGTCTCTTCATCATCTGCATCGAAAAACAAGGAATCAACATACAGTACACACAAATGATGTGATAATGGCGACCGTGTGCATGAAAACGAAAACAAGCGTTTTTATAGCATGTGCTTCAAGCGCAACACAAGCAATCCAAAAACGTCAAACACATCAGGTGGTTGCGCACAACCCCGGACAACAAACGAACCGGGTTCAACTCGTGCGATGCTGTAAGCTGGTTTCGTTGCGTACGCCATTAAAAAGTTACTCGGTACGAGACCGGAAGCGTGACTAATAACCTGGTCACCACTTGTGTCAGTTAGCGTTCGTTAGACACACATCAAGCTTAATTAACGTTACGATCATCACAAAACGGTCCCATTATCCCATCCCTACACATCAACTCTTCTGTATGATGTATGAACATGACAATGCATGAGGTATGGCTAAGTCAGGTCACGTCAAGTCACGTCAGTAATCAGACCATAATGATCAGAGTGTCAGATTCACCAGTCAATAAGTCAGTCAAATCTATAAACGTGAATGACAAATTTTTTAAGGTGGGATTTTTCTATACATACCCTGATCTGTGTCAGGATCGTTATGGTACAGGTAACCCTGAGTGACACCTTCGTGGGAATGGGCACGGCCTAACCGATGTAACCGAGCCATTTGAGCTGCTACGCTGTATGCGGGGGGCTGCCTCCGGCCAGCACCTAATTATTAGCACATCACGTCAGCAAAATGTCGACCTCGACGTCGAAATATGAAGTGTGGTGACACTATTGTGCTTTTTGTTTTAAGATGTGCGACTGTGAGGTGGTTAAGTGAAAAAAACTAAACTAAAGTGAGTCACTATAATTTTCTGACCGGTCGGAAAGTGTTAATTGATTAGTACCTAAATGTGAAGATGAGAAGTGATAAAACGCTCGCCGAGTGCATGTTTTCTACTTTTTTTTTGTTTTATGTGGGTTAGTTAGACATCACTTTGACACACTAAACTTTAAGCGACTCAATGTCAAGTGGTATACAGCTATATTGTTGTTCTTACTGTTTGTTGTAATTCTAGTGATTTGTCTCGGGTTTTATCTTTCGGTATACACCTGGTATATCAGGTTGTAAAAGTGAGGTAGGGTCTACTTTTTTCTTTCTACAAGGTGATCTTCGAGCAATACCTTAAAAATGATCAGAATATAGTTGAATGTTTATAAATCAAACTTTATAATAACAAAATTCTATCTGACAATAACAAATTTTTACCTAAGCATATTTTAATAATGTAAGCCAGTTTTACACAGAAAATAAGTTAAAAGACACCACAAGCATACTTTGTTTGCAAATTTAATTAGCCACTACATGCGCTACTGCTTTTTTTTTGGAGATTATTTTACTTTGTTATGGTTCTTGTACTCTTTAATAATAATTAAAATTACTACATGTAATAATAAATCAATAAGGACACAAACTTCGTTTCTAGTACATATCATGGTGTCTATATTCAAAAACTTATTTTTGATATATATCTAGTGTTCAAAGTATTCGACAAGTTTACGATATTTTTAGACAAAGGTAGGTCATGTAAATCTAGTAATTTGGCTGTCAATCAATTTCGTATATGCAAAAAATTTAAGTTGTTTTTGAAAGGTTAGAAAAAAATAATTAAGTTTTCATGCTCCATATTTGTCTAAAAATATTCTGAACGGTTTATAAGTATGATTAATTTTTTTTAAGCAATGGGACAGCCTGTATGTATGGTACAATTAACTCTACTTCTTTTTACATACTTTAAATCTATAAAACAAAAGTTAGATTCTTATCGTCGTCATAAACTTCTACCAGGCGTCTCAACATTTTAACAACACCTTCCCCGAGTCAACACAGTGACCTTGACCAAACCACTCCGTCTAAGTAAACTCCGTGTCAAACACTGGCGAGTGTTCCACATCTCCTAACAAAACAATATCCTTAAAAATAACTTCAGCCAAAGATCGCGACCTCGCCAACAATTCCCACATTTTTCCTGCACTACGTAAAACCATCAGCTGAGTGCCAAGTCGTAAGCGGTGCGTTTCAGGTAACATACACAATGCAAAGCAATATACATACTGTCTACGGTCCAATTTCTACAAACTTACCATTGCGCAAAGCGGGGGGTAAAGGGGGCAAAACGGCCACAGCATGGGGGCAAGGAGGCATAGCACCGGTATTGGGATACCAGCCTACCACCAACGACACAAGATGAACAGAAACAGTACACAAAAAACATCACACAACACGCACCCAAAACATGCACAACAACACGTCAAACACGACACACAAGCCGCTCCATGGCAGGACAAGAATTTGAACCCTAACACAAACGAATTGTCAAGAAAAAGCAAAGTCCCAATAGTCAATACAGCTATTTCTTTAACCCAACACTAATTTGACAATGTAAATAAAATCTTACACTAAGAAAGTTAGGTTATGATTGACATTTGTGACAGACGAGGAGTAGTCACAATCACAACGAGGCGGCAAAATTTACGAGTTTCAAAGCCAACTTGATGTGATTTTTAATACCCATTTTGTTTAAGTACAAAATATAGCTTAATTTGTCAAAAAGCATACTTATAGTTTTAGAACATTTTAACTGTGGGTGTGTCAGCGTTCACACTCTTCCTATCTGCCACAGAACGATTCACACGGGAAAAATGAGAAATGGTGGAAGACTTGAGTCTGTACATACCTGGCAGAGGTGGAGGGTGCCGTGGCGGACTCGGGCACCGAGGTTGGTAAGGGTGTGTGAGTCCAATTGTGCCCTCACCAGAACTTGTCGTACAATGACTCATAGTGCTGTGACCTGAGTCTGAGGAAGTTACAGAACCTGTGTAAACATGCCTACATTCATGAACGTGCTCAAGATCAAAGGTAGTCGATGCGATGTGGATGTGCGTGATATGGAAACGTTAAAAATGTTGCGTTTTATGAGTAAACGCTAAGTTCTAACATACTAGTGCAGTCCAGTGCATGTCGGGTGTGTCAGTGCGTGCGTGCATTTAATCTACCTTATTTACATCACCAAATTCAAGAGGTCAGATGTAGTACCAATGTAATTACAACGGCAGTGGCAACGACATGCCAAACAAAAACGTACGTTAAATAAGAATAAAACATGTGTAGCGTTATTTATAGCGGGGTTTTTGCGTTATTAAGTTGTTTATATTGTCACTACTGAGGCATGCAAAAACTAACATAAGCTACAAGTGTTTTATTCATGGCACTTATTGTAGGCCAAACCATGTAAAAATTTTACGGTTTTCGTGAACAATTATAGGTTTATGAATGATGCGATTTTCACATGGAATGGAGAACGTGGTCTAGGGAAAACAGATGACACACTTGGCAACTGAATTCAAATCTTTCTTTAACCAATGATGTCGTTTAAATTTTGAAAAAACGTATTTAATGATTTCTTTGAACAAGCTGATATGATGTAAAGCATAAAAAAGTTTTCATTTTGTTATCAAATGCACTCGTATGATAGCTTATTGTAAAAAAAAATTTTGAAGATAATAATTAAAATGGATCCCCTTCCATATACCATATGCATTTTTAAAACAATAAAAATAAATTTCATAGACTCCCATACGACTTTTCTTTCATTCATATAGTACTATTAAATTAAACATGAGAGTTTTAACAAAGATTCGAATTTCCTTAAGCCACTTCACATAACAATTTAAAAAATTACGAAAAGAAAGCTTAAATTTTTACTGTTGCCACTTTTGATAAAAACTGGCTACCAAAAATTGGAACTAATAATTTCGGATGAAATCCCAATACTCTAAAAAGTGTTCCACTAAATTGTACCATAATGCTTAATTTTAAATATAACTGCAATTAGAACTTATGTGAACAGTAAAAATAAACCCTTGATAACAACGTAAAACGCTTTAGATAGAGAGGTAACCGTGCAATCGGAGTAGACAGATTTTTTGTTTTCATGTTTTCTCGACGTTTCATGACCCCTAGATTGCGAAAAAATAGTAGGCATATAATCTCTGAAACTACTGGACCGATTGTTTGTTATGAAATTTTGTATGTATGTTAGGAATACCATCTACATGGTAAAATTTGTCCCTCAATCTCACCAACAATGGAATAACGTCATTTTTAAATTATACAATAATAAATTTTATTTAAATTGTAGAAAACAACGTACTCCTCCATTTGTGGTTTATGATTCCATGTTGAATTTTTATCTTCGGCATCGAGATTTTTCGGAAAAAAATTACAATTGTAGATATAACTATATAAATATTTTTCGATTTCTCAATATTTCGATGTTTCGGCTTTTTGATTTCTCGGTTTTTCAACTTTTTTCATTTTTCGTTTTCTCAATTTTCTTATGTTTTAGGTTTACGGTTTTTCAACTCTACAACTCTTCAATTTTTCACTTTTTCGATTATTCAAATTTTCGATTTTCCTTCCAGGTTTTTGATTTTTCAGTTTTTCCACTTCGATTTTACGACTTTTCGATCTTTCAATTTAATTTTTCGATGTTCAAGTTTGTATTTTTCAAGTGTTCTTCCACTTTTCCGTTTTTCGATACTTCAGGTTCGGAAGTTTTCAATTTTTCGGTTTTTCAATATGTATGTACTTCGATTTTCCGATTTTTTATTTTTCGAATTTTCAGTTTATCAATTTTTCGATTTTTCAGGTTTTCGATTTTTCCAAATTTTACGATTTTTTGATTTCTCAGTTTCTTGATGTTTCGGTTCTTCAAGATCTCTTCAAAAGTGAACTTTTTCAACACTTCAGTTTTGGGATTTTTTAAATGCATTTTTCAATTTTTAACTTTTCGATTTTGGCCCACTTAAATTTATCAATTTTCCGAGTTCTCGGTTTTTCGATTTTTCCATTTTCCAATTTTTCAATTTTTCGTTCCTTCAGTGTTTCTTCCAATTTTGAATTTTTCGCTATTTTAATTTTTCAATTTTTAAATTTTAAATTTCTCGATCTTTGATTTCTTGGATATTTCAATTTTTCGTTGTTTCGAGTTCTCGATGTTTAGGTTTTTCAGTTTTCGCTTTTTAAAATTATTGAAAATTTAATTTTTCAATATTTCGGTCTTTAAATTTTTCGATTTCTCATTTTTTCGATTCCCCGAATTATCGAAATTGCGATTTTTTTTATTGTTCGTTCAATGTTTAACTTTTCGACTTTGGCTTTCGATTTTTCAATTTGTCGGTTTTCCAATTTTTCAATTTTTCGATTTCTTGATTTTTCGATTTTTGAGTTAGTCCAATTTTAATTTTTCGATTTTTAAAACTTCATTTTTCAATATTTCAGTTTTTAAATTTTTTGGATTTTGGATTTATCGAGATTTCGATGTTTCAATTTTTTGATTTATGGATTTTTTTTTAATTTTAAATTTTTAAATTTTTGATTTTGGGCTATTTCGATTTCCCAATTTTTCGATTTCTCGGTTTATCGATTTTTCCACTTTTCAATTTTCCAGTTTTTCGATGTTTCGATTTTTCAGTTTTTCGATTTCCAATTTTTCGTTATTTCAGTTTTGGAATTTTTCAATATGTGTGTACTTCGATTTCCCGATTTTTTGCCATTTTCGAATTTTCAGTTTTTCAAATATTCAATTTTTCAGGATTTCGATTTATCCGAATTTTACGATTTTTCGATTTCTCAGTTTTTTTATGTTTCAGTTTTCGATTTTTAAATTTTTCGGATCTTCAATGTCTCTTCAAAACTGAACTTTTTCGATACCTCAGTTTTGGGATTTTTAAAAGCATTTTTCACTTTTTAAGTTTTCGATTTTGGCCCACTTAAATTTATCAATTTTTCGATTTTCCAGTTTTTCAATTTTTCACTATTTTAATTTTTCAATTTTTAAAATTTTAGATTTTCCGACTTCTTGATTTTTCGATTTTTCAGTTCTTCGAAATTGAAAATTTTTATTTAAATTTTCGATTGTTCAGTTTTTCGATGTTTCGATTTTTCGACTTCCCCGTTTTAGATTTTTCGGTTTTTCAGTTGCCGATTTTTAAAATTCTTGAAATTTTGAATTTTCAATATTTCATTTTTTAAATTTTCCGATTTTTCGATTGTTCAATTTCTTTATTTTTCGATCTTTCAATGTTCAACCTTTCGATTTTGGCTTATTTCGATTTTTAAAATTTTCGTTTTTTCGGTTTTCCAATTTTTCAAACTTTCGATTCTTCAGTGTTTCTTCCATTTTTCAATTTTTCGTATTTCAATTTTGGGATTTTTCAATTTTTCGATTCTTCGATTTAGTTAGTCCAATTTTAATTTTTCGATTAAAATTTTTTTTCATTTTTCAATATTTCGATTTTTTGATTTTTCACAATTTATCGATTTTTTTTAAGTTTTAAAATTTTAAATATTTAACTTCTTGATTTTGGGCCCCTTCAATGTATCCATTTTTCGGGTTCTTCCATATTTCAATTCTTCGATTTAAATTTCCCTGTTTTTCAGTTTTCGATTTTTTAATTGTTCAATTTCTTTATTTTTCGATTTTTCAATGTTCAATTTTTCTATTTTGGCTTACATATTTCAATTTGTTGGCTTTTCGATTTTTCGGTTTTCCAATTTTTCAAAATTTCGATTCTTCAGTGTTTCTTCCATTTTTCAACATTTTATATTTTGATTTTAAAGTTTTAGATTTTTCGATTTTTCAGTTACATAGTTGAATTTTAATTTTCTGATTTTTAAAATTGTTCATTTTTCAATATTTCGATTTATCAAGATTTCGATGTTTCGATTTTTTTTTAAGTTTTTGATTTTGGCCTATTTCGATTTCTGATTTTTCCACTTTTTCGTTTTTTCAATTGTTCGATTTCCAATTTTTCGTTATTTCAGTTTTAGAATTTTTCGATTTTTTTACTTAATTTTCCGATTTTTTGACTTCTCAATTTTTTAGTTTTTTGATTTTTAAATGTTTCAATTGTCCGATTTCAAATGTTTCGTTTTCTCGGTTTCTCAATGTTTCTTTTCTTCAGTTATTTGATATATCAATTTTCGGAACTTATCAAGTTCTGCATTTTTCATTTTTGGATATTTTAATTTTTCGATTTTTTTTATTTATTTATGCCTCTGGTTTTGCGAGATTTGATGGACTGCACTTCGGGAGCGCGGGAAATTCTGTCGAAATAACTTTCACCCAATTTTTTTGGGTTCAGTAGTTGGGTCAGTACTAAAACTGAGTTTTTCCTTCACGAACCGAACTAAAGGAAAAAATTGCACCCTCAGACCCGATAACTCAGTTTTTCAGTCACTGTCTTAATGACTCATTGACTTGTACAAATTCTTCTATAAGAAGCTAATTGCAATTATCTCTGAAACTAAGCCACCCCAGCTAAACTTTCTCAATAATTTCAACCCGCACTTTTATTTGACACACCTCTGCTTTCCCTAGACCACTCGACATTTCTGACAGCTCCATGCAACACACAAACGAAGCACTGTCAAATCTGTCAACACAACATCACTCCTACGATAAAATTTCAAATCAGGCGGGTTTGATACGCACCGGAAGTAACAGTTTTTCTTAGGGGCAAGTTACTGAGCGACGTGACACTACTGCTTTCAGCCGAAAGAGCAACGGAAGGCAAAGGTGTAGGGGTATCCGAATGCGATCTTTCATGCATGGCGCGGCCGCCCGCACCCGAACTACTAGAACTGTGTGATCCGTAACTCGAATAACTACCTGCAATCCGAACAAAAGCGCATTATGAAGAGAGAAACAAAAATTCAGATGATACAAAAACAAAATTGATAGATGACTAAGCCGGACGAGTGATTACATAGAAAAGAGGTATTACCGGTAGCGCTAGGCGCCCTTCGTACTGCAGGGCTTGCTTGAGATGTGCTGATGCCGTGGGTCGGTAGTTGTCTGGGTTGGTGTGGCCGCGTTTTGTTGGGTTCGGAGAGGGAGAGCAGTTTTCTGACGGCCTGGGGAGATGCTGAGCCTATGCATAACGAACACAGTGAGATGGTGATGACAAGGCGAATTTTTGGATGTTAGTTTTTTGTACACACGATTTTGCAGGGTGATGTTTTTAAATGAAGGATGGAGTGTTGTCCGCTTTTTAAAGTAAACGTGCAGTGCGGTGAAAACAATTCGTTGGTAAAAGCGATTTTGTGTAGATGCTGCTGGCGTTTTACGTAAACAAAAATGTGTTCACTGGAGATAGCTGACAATATAGTCTGGAGAGTTGACATTTGAAATACGTTTACACATCAGTAATTTTACATATTAATGAAGATAACTTAAAACGAATAATAATGGAAGTTAAAACAAAAAATAATACAGAAGTATCTGAGATTCTATACTATAGAATGAACGTTTTACATATAGTCACATACCACATTTGTACCTACACAAACAAATACCATTTTTTGTCTCTTGTCCCCATTGCTTTTAGCACTGTTGCTGCTGTAGGTTTATATTAATCAAACTTAAATCGTTTCAAAAAAACATTTAAATAAAAATAAAATTAATGAGTGAAAAGTAATTAATAATAAAAAAGTGTAATCCAATGTCAGAAAAGTGAACATCGTTATTTTAAACAAACATTGCTACAAAAATAAATTAAAAAACGTTTTTCCCAAGTTGTAACGTCATAAATAAATTGTCTTAACATTAATAATTTTAATGAAGACTTTAAAGACAGCCAAAAATGTGATACTTAATAATAATTAATTGTTGAAAAAGATTTCTTAAGCGCATTTTTGATAAAGTAATTGTATTTAGTAATTGTTAGTGACATGTTCTATATTTCAGATGAAATTTATTTAATTTTTGTAATGTCACTTTTTATTTATTTATTTTTTTTTAATAGAAAAATCAATGCGGGCGCTTTTCGATATCTAATTCAATTAATATTAAAGGAGGATAAAGTCAAAGATCAGAGTTGTACGGTTCCTAGAGCAACATAAATTAAAATTAAAATTTTCTGTTCAAGACAATGTTGTTTTTAAGGCTGAATGTACAACATAGCCTTTTTTAAATGTAATTTCCATATGATTTTACATAGCCTTTGTGTCCTCCTAGGTTTTAAGAACATATTTATTTTATTTCTAAAATTAGGTGCAACGTCTCTTGATTTTTTTTAAATGCACAAAAAATTATATTGAGATTATTTTTAATATTTGAAGATTAATATTTTGTTAATATAATAAACAAGGGTAGGCGCTGCATTGTAGAATAGATAAAAATTAATCTTACCATACTGAGTATTTATTAAAAACTTCTACTCCTAAAATATTATAGTTTTCAAATATGATTATTTGAAAATTATAATATTTCAGAATTTTCGATCACATGTCAAATTAAGTCAGTTCACAGTAAGTTAGGTCACGCTGAGTCAGGTCACGCTGAGTCAGGTCGCGGAAAGTCAGGCCACGCTAAGTCAGCCCACGCTAAGTCAGGCCACGCTAAGTCAGGCCACGCTAAGTCAGGACACGCTAAGTCAGGTCACACCGAGTCTTGTCAAATTAAGTCAAGACACGCTACGTCAAGTCTCACTAAGTCAGGTCACACCAAGCCTTGTCGAAGTAAGTTAAGTCAGCTATGCCAGGTCACACTAAGTCAGGGCAGGCTGTCAGGTTATACCAACTCAGCTCACGGCTAGGTCAAGTCAGGTCCCGCTAAGTCAAGTCAGATCATACTTAGTGGAGTGATCACAATATACACATAGGGTTGCTAAAAACTATGCCTACAGCTAAGTATTTCCAGAACGGTTTATTACAACCCATTACAATTTGGTATAAAGTATAAGTTTTTGGATTCTATCCTCTGATATATTATTCAAATTTCCATCAACATTTCTTTTAAAAGATCTAGCACGAGGAGTCAAATTTAATATAAAAAAAAACATTTTTTCTACATTCAGTAATGTTACAGAAATCTTTCTTTATTTGCACTAAATGCTAAAAAAAAATAAGCTTTAGTTCTTTATTAAAATTGTTTTATTTCAGTTAAATGTGTTACTTTTACAATTACTTTTCGATTTTTATATTTTTCGGTTCTTCAATGTCCCTTCCATTTTTCACTTTTTCCATATTTCAGTTTTGGATTTTTCAATATGTATTCAGATTATTAAATTTTTCGATTTTTAAATTAAAGATTTTTCTATTTCTTGATTTTTCGATTTTTCAGTTCTTCCATATTTCCGTTTTCGAATTTTGAAATTTTAGACTGTTTAGTTTTTAATGTTTTGAGTTCTCGATGTTTCGATTTGTCGACTTGCCGGTTTGATATTTTTGCGTTTTTAAAATGTTTCGATTTTTCATTTTTTCGATTTCTCGAAATTGCAGTATTTCGATCTTTTCATTGTTCAACTGCTCCATTTTTCGATTTTTAAATTTTTTACTTTTTGATTTTGGCGTATTTCAATTTTTCGAGTCCTCGGTTTTTCGACTTTTCGGTTTTTTTATTTTCCAATTTTTCGATACATTAATTTTTCAATTTTGAAAATTTTTGAGTTTCGATTTTTTTATTTTTCGACTTCCCGCTTTTAAATTTTTCGGTTTTTCAGGTTTTTCGAATATTAAAACTTTTGAAATTTTGATTTTTCAATATTTCGGTAGATTTTTTCGATTTCTCGATTTATAACATTTTTTTTTACTTGTCAGTTTTCAAATTTTTCAATTTTTCAATTCTTCAGTGTTTCTTCCATTGTTAGATTTTTAGATATTTCAGTTGTGGAAATTTTCAAGCTTTAAAATTTTAGATTTTTCTATTTCTTGATTTTTCGATTTTTCAGTTCTTCCATATTTCCGTTTTCGAATTTTGAAATTTTAGACTGTTTAGTTTTTAATGTTTCGAGTTCTCGACGTTTCGATTTTTCGACTTGCCGGTTTGACAATTTTGCGTTTTTAAAATGTTTCGATTTTTCATTTTTTCAATTTCTCGAAATTGCAGTATTTCGATCTTTTGATTGTTCAACTGCTCCATTTTTCGATTTTTCAATTTTTACTTTTTGATTTTGGCCTATTTCAATTTTTCAATTTTTCGAGTCCTCGGTTTTTCGACTTTTCGGTTGTTTTATTTTCCAATTTTTCGATATTTCAATTTTTCAATTTTTAAAATTTTTGAGTTTCAATTTTTTTATTCTTTGACTTCCCGCTTTTAGATTTTTCGGTTTTTCAGGTTTTTGGACTATTAAAACTTTTGAAATTTTGATTTTCCAATATTTCGGTTGATTTTTTCTATTTCTCGATTTATAAAAATTTTTTTTTTGACAATTTTTCGGTTCTTCAGTGTTTCTATCATTTTTCAATTTTTTGATTTTTAAAAATTGAAAAATGAAAAATTAAAAAAGTTCTTGATTTTTCAGTCTTTTAGTTTTTCAAGGCTCATTTCATTTTATTTTAAATGGCATGAGGGGTCAAAATTAAAATAAAAAAAAATTGCATTTAGTAAAGTAACAAAGTGTAAAAGGTGGAAAAAATCAATATTAAAATAAGTTTCAGGTTTTTTATTAAAATGGTTTTATTTCATTTAAATTTGTTATTTTAACAATTACTATTAACTTGTATTTAATTTTTATATCAACAAGGTTAATGGTAGATTAAAAAAAAATCAAAATTGTATTATTTGCGTTTTTTTTTTAATTTCTTAGTGCAAATTAAGAAAGACATGAACGCAGAAAAAAAACGATTTAAAAAAAATTAAGTTCGACCCTTCCTACCACAAAAAAACAATTATTTAGCCTTGTATCTCCAAAACAAATGTTGTTGGAAATTTCAATCACATTTCAGAGGATAGAGTTTAAATACTTTTACTTATATACGAAATTTCAATGAGTTCTAGTAAACCGCTCTGGAAATATTTAGCTGTATCCATACTTTTTAGCAACCTGTATATCGTAGTCCTAGAATGCACGGATCAGTCCGACCCGATCTGAGCCGACCAATCAGCACACGTGGATCGGTTCAGGTCGGGTTAGATCGGGTCATAACATTTCATAATGGACCTGAGCTGACCCGATCCGGGCACTTGAAAATTATAATATTTTATAAACACTCTGTACGTTAAGGCTCAATTTTATTAGTACGACCAAGTGCAAACTTTGTTTATCTGCGCATGAACTTGAATATTTTGAAGAAAATTGAAATAACTTGATGCCGTTGCATCGGAATTTAAATAACAGAATATACAGGGTGAGCCACCAAGCGAACTCTCAACGACACTTCATTATTAGAAATACAAAAATGACAAAAACTAAATTTGTGCAGTTCTTGGAGTACCATGCACTAGAATAATTCTTAACTATAGGGTGTTTCGTATTTAAGGCGCAACACATTTGGTTTTTGTATTTATTACACCCTCCATACTTTTGCAAATTCTGATTGATCTGTTCTTCGGCTTTATAACCACATTTATTTTTGAAATTCCGATGATACGTTCTTCCAATTTTCTGAAACATTTTTAGTAATGGAAGGCTTCATAAAAAAAATCGCAATATGGTTATTTTTAAAATCTGCATTACAGGATTTTGTGGAGAGATAAATAACTGCACGCGCTTGGTTGTGCTCTAAATAAAGTCTTAACATACGTTTAATTTTTTTAATTACAATTTTCAAATATCGACCAGTTTTTCCAAATTTTTGCATTTTTTTCTGTTTATTGTTCTGTAACTTTTCTATTCAGTATTTTCTATATTTAAAGTTGATAGTTACTGCGATTTTTGACTCTTTTGGGAGACACGAACATATTTTAAGAAAGTAAAAAAATACAGTAAGACGTAGTAATAAAATACAGGATGTTCCATTTGCAGAACCAAATATTGATATATCAAAAATTGTAACGTTCTAGATTTTCTTTTATAAATACTGTGTATTAAAATTTGTGTGTCAAGACCAAAAAGACGAACTTTTTTTTTAACGAGATACACACAACATTGTTTTGGCGACCATACAGAAAAATTGTTGCTATTATGTAAGTGGTTTTGAGATTAGAAAAATTGGTACCGTCATATTTCGTTCAAATGGAGCTCAAATAACAAAAGATTATGTTTCCCTTTTATCTTTTTCGCCTAAAAAATAACATTACGATTTTTTTGGTGAATCCTTACATTGCAGACGCATTGAGTTTTCAAAAATAAACTATTTTTATAAACCCTACAAACAGGCCAATAGGAATGTGTAAAAATATAGTGTTCGGAAAAAAAAGAATTATAATTTATAAAAAATTACATTGTAAAGTTCCAGTTGAGGTCAATCAGGATACATAACACCAGAAAACTGAGTCGTATTTTGTGTCAAAAACAGAATACTGTATAGTCGAAAATAATTTTACGTTATGCACCCCAAAAACCTGTATAACTTTGATTCCTTTTACTTCTAATAATAATTTATGAGATTTGGACTTACTGACTCAGTCACCCTGTATAGATTTTGATTGGTGTTGTATAATATTCACAATTTTGATGCACAAGTTAAATGTCAAAGTAAAAAATCACGGAAAAATGCAGAAAATTGTATTTTTGAATTCTAGATACCATCAAAGTTTACTTTATTTTTTAAGTATTTATTTCCCTAGGATGCAACATTTTTAAACAGACAAAAGAAAATCAAACGCCATCGTAAAAAGAAAAATAATTACAAACATTGATTTATTCCTACGTTCATGTATAGCTGTACTGTCTTCAAAATGAAATATATAGTTATATTTTCAAGCTCACTCATCAAATTTATTTAAAAAAATATTTATTCCCATGATCAGTAAAACTTCGTACTAAGCTTTGTAGGAATTCAATCAAATGAACTAATGCGTCGCTAAATCAGGATGTAATCTTGTATAGACTATACAGTAGTTAAACAAGTATGTACTTCAAGATTATACAGGCTGTCCGCAATTAAATCCATAACCTTTAAGACCATCACCGTCCCAGTAATCCCAAATTTCACCGAATTAAGAAAAAAACTCACCAAACTTGGCAGTCGGTTTTCTCTCATCACTCGTACTACTCGTACTACTCGTCGTAGACGGCGCCGGCGACGCGTGCCGCTTTCCCCTCTGACTTCCCGGTCCAGACGACCCGCTACCCGACGCCGCTTCACACTCCAACGACATCTCGTGCAGTTTCACTTCGTCCGTCACGACGTGCAAATTATTCAAGTACGCCTTGACCCTCCTCACCATCTGCGACTCCTCGAACATCTTCTTCGGATTGGGCGCCGCCGTCGACTTTTTCCTCCTCTTCACAGTCGTCTGACCCTGCGGATGGTGCTGCGACGACGCCGTTGTCAGCTGGTTGAGCGCGACCATGGCGTTGCTCGCCGGCTGCCCGCCCAACTCCAACATCGTCAAGAGATCGTACGGACTACTACACATGTTGCTCAACGATCGCACTTCTTTCGCGATCATTCGGAGCTTCTCGAAGTTGACTAGGCCCTCAACTTGTGAATCGTTGCCCAGGTGGATGAAGGTGAGGTCTTTTTTGACCACGGGATAAAAGGGGATCTGTAGCAAAAGTGGTGGATTAGAAAAATGTGCGCGAGAGTGAGTGGCCAAGAAGCATGCTGTAAAATGTGGGAGAAAAGAGTGATAAAAATGATGAGGGAATTTGTAGCACAGATAATAAAATATGCGTGGGGGGGTCGGGCGAGAGGAGGCAAACGGTGTGGAACATTGAATTTAAACTTTCTTGGAGTACTTATCGCTGGCAGTACTTCGACGTGAAGTCGGTACTGGATTGAGGCAATCAACAAATTCTCTCATTGTGGTAGACGTAATAAATTGTAAAAATTGTCGAAAGTCGAAATTTCAAAAAATGAGGGTTGGGTACACAGAACTTACAGTATGAGAAAGTACCAGATATGTCTAAAAATAAAATCGCAAATGTCAACTACATGTTGTAACTGCGGGGTATGAATTATGATCTTGCAGGACGAAGTTGCTTTTCCACTTTCTGATTACTTTATTTTAAGATGAACTTCGTCTTGCATACACTAGTTGATCAAAAAATAGCAAGTACTTACTATAGGCGGTTGACTTTGCTCAGCACTGACGAGTTGTCGGTACTTGCTCATGTTTCTTGAAGGGTCCATTAGCTGTTGCAGATCTGAAAATACCCTTTGGTACTTCCCTGGCAGCTTATCCCAGCTCTGTCTCAATCTTGATACTGCACCATGCCCTAAACCACTTATAATAGCAAACATGGAATTAAAATTCTTGCACTCTTTACACTGCCCTGAGTAACAAAAAACCAATTAGTACCTGCTACGAAAACTACCACCAATCACTTACTTGCTACTTTAATAAATTGCTTAATAATTTTCATTCTCCTCACCGGATTGTGCTCACTGCACACTTCCGTCACAACCCAGAACATCTCCTTATTAACCAACGCGGCGAACTGTTCCAACATAGGCGTCCCATACTTCGACTTAAGTTCAAACAACTCGTCGATATACTCAGTCGGTTCTATCTGTCTAAAAATGCTAAAATCTTGCAAGGTTAGCTGAATCGCGACCTCTACGGCATTCAGCTGCAAGAAATGAACGGCGCTCTCTCTAACTAATTCAGGAGCGAGTTCGTCAGGTACTAAAGTTTCGGTGATTCCGTTTGTTTTCAGGTAATAGCGACTGTTAAGTCCGATTCTTTCAGCCAAATTTTGAAGTTGATCAGGTAGGCGGCGCTGCTTGATCGTCTGGGTGTCCGTGACGCTCACTTCACACAGACTGTAGTTGCTACTAGGATCGGTGATGCCGAACTCTTGGAGGGCCAACATCACGACTTCGTGAGCGGTGGTCTCTTTGTGGACCAGTAGATATTTGTAACTTTGATCGGGTTTGTACACCTATACAAACGGCGTAAACAACCATTAAAAATATTACAAGAAGGTTAGGTTTGCACCCGCATAAAATTTTATTGCAGAAAACGCAGTTTAAGTCAGTTTCGATAACTTTCGGAACACCATAAACAACACCTTCGCGTTCTATTTTTGATCGTCTCACTGTCAGCAATAAAATTTTATGTGGGTGCCACTAAAACTTTTAGTGATGTTACCTTGAGAACATGTTCTGGATAGTCGGTGCACCTGAGATCGTCGTAGCAAATCGACATCAAATCAGGATTGCTTTGGGACTGATACAAATTCGACCCCAGATTGCTCGGAGCATTAAAATTATCCACCTGATCGGTTCCAACACTAAAACTAACCGCTCTTAGTTTAATATAGTTCCAAAATTTATCCAAATTACTTGATGATATTCTTGGGTAAAATATTCATCTTCATCAGCGCCTTCTGCAACCGCCTTTTGGGTCCCAAAGTCATGAAACTGGGTTTCTTATTCTCCTTCTGTGGACTCCCGATTGTTACAGGTTGTGAACACGGCGACTCGTTACTGAGAATCAGGTTTCCATCCACACTTGAAAGCCTGGCTCTAGGATCGGGTTGCAACTTCGAAATTTCCGATACTTTTCGACTTCTTGGTCGTGGAGAATTATCTGGAGTGTTAAGCATTTCCTTAAAGTGTAGAAGATTCGATTTAACCGTGATACTGAGATGTGTAGTTCCTCTGAGAATTTCGAGCGCTTTGGCATGACTCACATGCTCAAAGCTTTGTCCGTTAACCTGAAAATGTTCAATTCGTCACGTGTTCAAAAACCCAGACACCTACCTATACCTCTATAATTTGATCACCCCTCTTCAACCCCACGTCCTCGGCTTTCGTCTTCTTATCAACTTTCGAGATAAAAATTCCGAAATTCCTCTCAAACCCGCCCAAAATTTGGAAATTCAAGGGTTCTTCGCGACTCGATCTGGCCAAAACGACGTTTCGAAGTCTCGCCTTCGCCGCACAAGCGATATTGAGAAGCCGCAGTTGTCCGCTCATTTTTTCGTTTTCTAATCCTTGTTCGAATGTCTCCAAGAAATCGATCATGTCAGGGTCGGTTTCGAAGTCGGTGAAATGGTTGTTGACCCATAATAACACTACTCTGGTTACTCTGTCTCGAACATCTGGATCTTTAAACCACTCTAGAAGTTGGTTGGCTACGTGCAGTGGACTTGAGATGAACGTTCGATGGGTTAAGAGAAAATCTTCGACGTATGTGGGGTCAGTGAGCGAATTTTCTTCGACGAGTTGCAGCATTAAGCGTTCTGGAGTGGCTCGAATTACCACGTGACCTCTTCGATTACTGCTGGGTTCCATAGAGCCGCGGAGTTCTGTCACCATGACGACTTTGCCGTTTTCTTCGTGGCGGCGGGTGTTTTCTTCGCCTTGATGCAATATTCTGGCAAAAATAATTAAAACGCTCGTTATACCATGTGTTTACACTCCTATTGTTTCAACTAGGTATAGTTGAAGTCAGTATCTACGGTTTTCGAACGGAAAGTAACTTTTGTGTTAAAAAGATCTAAGCTCTATTTGATACCCCAAATTTAGGAAATATTGCATGTTCATGATAAATTATGAAATTTGACTTGAAGTATTTTTGACAATATTAAACCAGAAAAATTAGTAGAAGATTATTTCGATAGAACTTCCCTCGCCCTAAGTAAAGCCTAATAAATCCCGCCCCTTTGAAAAATTATAAACTTTGATGTTACGATTTTTGTTTTGTGATAACCTCTATAAAGTAAAAACCAGTGGCGTAAATAACAACTCCGAAAAATCGAAATTTCGAAAATTAAAGACATTTGAAAAATCCAAAAACTGAAGAATGGAAAAATTGAAAATCGTGAAATGGAAAAGTAAAAAAAAATTAAAAGTCTAGAAACTGAAAAATCTAAAAATTAAAAAATCTAAGTTTCAAAAAGTATAAAGAAAGAGAACATTAAGGGTATTTAAAATCGAAAATTCGAGAAATCAAAATCGAAAAGTAAAAAAATTGAAAAATCGAAAAACTGAAGAATGGAAAAACTGAAAATCTATAAGTAAAAAAAAACTGGAAATTCAAATATCGAAAAATAAAAAAAATGAGAAGTCTAAAATTTGAAGAATGGAAAAATTGAAAATTCAATGACTCAAATATGTATTCGAAAAAACGAAATTCGCTAAATCAGAAAAACCGAAAATTCGACAATCAAAATATCGAAAAACCGAAAACGAAGATTTCGAAAAATCCAAGAAGGGAAATATAGAAAAATCGGGAAATCGAAAATTCGATTATCTAAAAATTGAGAAATCCAAGAATTGAAATATAGAAAAAACGAAATATCAGAAGTCGATTAAAACCGAAAAATTGAAAAATCGATAATTAGATGAATCAAAGATGTATTCGAAGTAACGAAAATCCGAAAATTAAAAATCGAAAAACTGAAGAACGGAAAAATTGAAAATTCAAGAAATCAAAAAGTCTAGAAACTGAAAAATGTAAAAATTGATAATTCGAAAAAAAAAATCAAACATCGACAAATCGCAAAAACCGAAAGCTCGAAAAACAAAAGACCGAAACACCGAAAAATCAAAAATTCGAAAAATCCAAGAAAAATATTGAAAAAACGCAATGTCGAAAGTCGAAAAATGGAAAAATCGAGAAATCGAAATTAAAAAAAATGAAAATTCAAAAAATCTAAAAATTGGAAAGCCGAAAAATGAAACTAGAAAAATCGAGAAATCGAAAATAAAGAAATTGAAAATTCGAATATCGAAAAATCGAAAATTCAACAATTCGATGAACCAGAAAACCAAAAAATTCAAAAATTTGAAAATCAAAAAACTGAATGGAAAAATAAATTGAAAATAATTCGAGAAATCGCAAAAACCGAAAACTCGAAAATCAAAAGACCGAAACACCGAAAAATCAAAAATTCGAAAATGAAGATTTCGAAAAATCCAAGAAGAATATAAAAAAACGCAATGTCGAAAGTCGAAAAATGGAAACATCGAAAACTCGAAAATCAAAAGACGGAAACACCGAAAAATCAAAAATTCGAAAACAAAGATTTCGAAAAATCCAAGAAGAATATAGAAAAAACGCAATGTCGAAAGTCGAAAAATGAAAAAATGGAAACATCGAGAAATCGAAATTAAAAAAAATGAAATTTCGAAAAATCGAAAGTCGAAAAATTGAAAATCTAAATATCAAAAAATCCAAAACTTTAAAATTAAGAAATCGGAAACCCGAAAAATGAAAATAGAAAAATCGAGAAATCGAAAGTAAAGAAATTGGAAATTCAAATATCGAAAAATCAAAAACTAAAAACTTGGAAAATCGAAAATAAAAAAATCGAAATTCAACAATTCGACGAATCAAATATATATTCGAAATAACGAACATCCGATAAATCAGAAAACCGAAAATTCAAAAATTTGAAAATCAAAAAACTGAATGGAAAAATTGAAAATAATTCGAGAAATTGAAAAATAAAAACAAATTGAAAATTTAAATATTGAAATATCATCAATTAAAAAAAATTGAAAAGCCTAAAAAATGAAGAATGGCAAAATTGGAAAATGCAAAATTTAAAAAATCAAAATCGAAATTTCGAAAAATTGATAATTCATTGTATTCGAAAAAACAAAAAGTCGCCAAATCGGAAAACCGAAAATTTGAAAATTTAAAAATCCAAAAACCGAAAAATAATAAATCGGAAATCAATATTTCGAAAAATACAAAAATCGCAATTTAGAAAAAACGAAAAATCGAAGGTCGAAAAGTAGAAAAATGGAAAAATCAAGAAATCGCAATTAAAAAAATTAAAATTCAAATATCCAAAGATCAAAATTTGGAAAATAGAAAATAGAAAATTTGAAAAATGGACAATTGAAAAATTGAAAATTTGAAAAAATCGAAAATTCAAAATTTCGAAAAATCCAATGTCGAAAAATCGAAAATTCGATTAATCATATGTTCGAAAAATTAAAATCTGAAAAGTCGGGAAACCGAAAATTCGAAAATCTACAAAATGAAAAACCCAAAAATCGAAATATAGAAAAAAGGAAACATCGAAAGTCGAGAAATCTAAAAGTGTAAAAAGAAATCGAAATAAAAAAAAAATCGAAAAATTCGGATATCGAAAAATCCAATATTCGAAATTTCGATAATCAGATATCCGAAAAATAGAAAATTGAAAAAACGAAAAGTTGAAAAAATTAAAAGCAAAAAACCTTAAAATTCTAACATCCAAAAGCCGAATTTCCAAAAAACCATCGAGCAATTGAAATTCGAGTGATCAAAAATTCAAAAAGTTGAAAAATCGAAAATCGGAAACCGAAAATCTAAAATTCGGCGAATCAAATGTTTGAAAAATCTAAAATCGAAAGATTCTTCCTATTACCTCAAACCGTTTATGATTTCAGAGCAGTAGGTTTGAAATTTCAAAGTTAAATTTTAAAATATTATACAATTTTGATTTTTTCCCCAAAAATTTGGACGTCTAGAATAAAATCTCAACACCAATTCATGAATCACACATGCATGTGATTCTATAAAATTTAAGGAATTCGGGAAAATGACGTAAATATTTAGGGGGATGATAAAGCAAGAAATTTTGATTAACGATTTACCATTCTTGCGATAACCTTAAAACGTTTGCAAGATTTCAGAGCATTGGGTTTTACAGTTTCAATATTAAACTGTAAAATGTTATACAATTTTGATTTTTCAACACGGATTCATAAACCACAGTGCAGGAGCGTCTAATTTTATAAAATTTAAATAAAATTTACCAACGTAAATTTTTGATCATTACCCAAATTTTTGTTAGCGTTTTAGTACTCGTATCTACACGCTAATCCTAATACACATATAAAATTTGACAATAGGTCCAATAGTTTCGGAGATCATATGTCTATTCAAAATCCGAACTGACGGCAGACAGACGGAAACGGGAGAGCTAGTTTTTCGTGCCCTAGAGGTCATGAAACGTCAAGAAAACATAAAACTAGCCTATCGCCCGATGGATTCGATTAGAATACTTCCTTACCTTACGCTCGTAAATAAAAAAACACGAATTTGAACCCACATCAATAAAAAATGATACTTTTAAATTAGTTCAACGGACTGTTTTGTATGATAACACACAAAAATATATATAGATTCATGAATCACTTTATCACTATTTTATAATTTACTTACAAACCCAGTCTGCACCTACTAAAATTTAACAACAAATGGGTCCATCCAGAAGTAGGAGACTGTTTACGTACACCCCTCTACCCTTATCTTATCAACATCTCAATGAAAAACACAAACAGATAATCCAAAGCAAGGCTACTCGATAAACAACATTTTAATGTCTGCCATACTTATTTACACCTCGATTAATAAAAACATCAACACGCTCAAAATTCGGGTCATTATGCTCAAGTTACTCTCCGCTCTACGCGTTATTTTTTAACTCCCCCTCACCTGTAGTAATCCGACTGTGTAATACAAACAAATTGGCAGTCATCACACTTGGTAACCATAATCCCTTTATGATACAACTTCTCCATGGTAGGCAAAATCCCGAACGCCTCCCCCGTGGTCAACGCTTGACTTTCTTCCCCCGGAATTATCACCTCCACACACCCATTAACCACCACCGACCACGAATCCAACTCCTCGCCGTCGTTCATCACCGTCGTTCCAGCTTTATCCACCACCGCGAACACCATAACAGCACACAACGCCCTTCTCACAGCCAAAGTCATGTTGGTGAAGGCCTTCAGGTGCTGGGTGAACTCCAACAACGCCTCGATGTCGTCTTCTGTACGTTCTTGAGGTTCTTTCTCGAGGCAGTCACGCACTCGGTCCCTTACTGTCAAACTCTGCCAAAAAATTAATCATTCGAGTCGGTTTGAGGCGACTGAAACTTACGTCCATGCTTTCGGCCAAGTCGTCTTCTTCATCGCTGTCCACTATGCTCTCGACCAAGCCAGTGAAGTCGATGTCGTCTCCGTCGAGTTCCGAATGGTTTGAGGCCATGGTGTCTGAGCCGCTGTAGGCCGAACTCGTGTCTGAAGAATGGGAGCCTCGACTGCATTTGTGGTAGAGGCTGGGTCTGATCATATTTTGACCATACTGGAAGTAAAAAATCGAGCTATTTAAACCGTTCTTTGGTTGAGTATTGAACTACTAGCGCCACAATTGAAGTTATTAATAATTGTACTGCAAAATAAGTCTTCTTGCATGCTTTGGGTCAATGGTATATGCCATACCAAACGTGTTTTACGTGATTCTTTGTGAACATAACTCTAGTTTTTCTTGCTGAATCGAATTGTGTACTGTAACAAGTAATATATTATGTATTGTTCGCACGAAATGGGTACCCAAGCAAAGAAATTCTAGAGCTAACACACGTGTATTTAGTGTCTGTAATTTCGGATTTTGAGTCATAAAGCATACAGATTTTAGAACAACATAATTATATTACCATCGTTACCAGTAGTTGAACTCTTTCAAAACAAACACATTACCGTTGATATTTTGCTCATTAGAAAATACATCTAAACTTGAGTAAACACATAAATAGCTGGTAGTTGAAGCTAACGTAATGTTCACACGGTTAAGTTCAATCGACATGATGCAGATTCACTTCAATTTATGTGAAATTAATTCAAAAATAAAATTTTTGTGGTCAGAAACTGTACAATTTTGTACCGAAGTAACTAGCTTTCGTTAGAATAAAACATCAAACGTCAAAACTATATTCTTATCACAAAAAAAGAAATAGGGTACTTTTTCTACACACTGCTTTTTGTTCTAACAAGTTGCCTTACAAAAAAAGTATAGTAAAGTTTGATAACAATGAAAAATTTCGCACCCGAGTTTTCAGTAAATCTCGACGTACTGAAGAATTTCCTAAGAATATTTGAACAGATATTTGGATTTTTCTATTTTTTAATCCTAATTCATTCATAGACATTTAAGAAAGCCGGTAAAAATAAATTTTGCGAAAAATGCCCACAGTAGAAACAACTTTAATAAATTCATGGATAAAAGATTTATCTGTACTTATTTTAAACGACGAAAATGTTTTCTGCAAAGCATGTGGGAAAACGGTAAGTGCGTTTTTTTTTAAAATTTATATTGCATATTTTTTAATATGACTGTAAAATTGTTTTTGTGTTGAAATAAAAAAAAATATAATAAAAACTCTGATTGTTAATTGTAATGACGAAAAAATAGGTAATTTATAGCATATTTATGCTTTGTGTAAAAATATGTTGTACGTAATAGCTGTAATTACTAATAATTATAGACATTTATTGTGTTTTTTGTTTGTATTTTATTGTTCTTTCTTTCCTAGTCCCCGGAGGTAAATTGCGTATGTGCATATTTAGCAAAAGTTGCGCAATTTCGAAGACATTTTTTGCATATACCGGGTGTCTGGAAAATGGCGGATTATCTTAACAATCAACTGGTGAGTCTGGGAAAAATAATAAAAAAAAATACTTCTCACATTTTGGTGGAGTTATAATGATTTTAAAATTGGTTCTTTTGCTACGTTTAACAACTAAACAACCCATTCATTATCACAACTAGTAATATACTTCATATTTCTCTCACCTATGGCCATGTTTAATTACCATTTCAGTTAGAATATGTACAAAGATATAGTTTTGTTGTTTTTGTAATAATTTGATAAAATTCCATTTGACAACAATGTTTACCTGATACAGGGTTTCTATAAATGATTATAGGGTCGTAGTAGGTCATGTAAACGTGCCGCCTCTCACATTTAACTGTACGGAGATCTGGTTACAAATGACATTAGACATTAATGTGACAAGTGAGAACTGTCATAATGAGGCATAATCACGGGCGTAATTTCAGCGAAGCGGGTTTTTTGAAATCCATGGCTAACTACGCCCTTAGAATCATTTATAAAAGCCCTGTATAAAACGAAGGTACAAATCAGCAAAAATCGAGCGAACAGTTAAAAATGTTTGACGTTTTAAAAATTGTCAAAGTTTTCAAAATCCCACGTTTAAAATGTTCGCAGTTATTTTTAAGTCCCCTGGTGTTTTGTTGCTGGATGAACTTGAAAAAATCTTTTGAGCTTTTAGTGTATAATTTTTTATGAATTTGAAAGTCTTGAGCGCCGCAGTGTTTTTTTTTTAATTTAAAACAATTTTAGGGGACTTTGGTGTTCTATGTTTGAAAAATTCTAACTTGTAATGAGTTAATTTTGGAACCCCGTTTTTTTTTGAAAATGTAAAACAATCTTGAGGTTCTAGATATTCCTGTTTGGAAAAACTTTTAAAGTTCTTTGGGACCTTTAGTGTCTTTTCTTATAATAATTTAATTAAATTTCTTGAAGGATACGTCATTTGCTAAAATCACTGTTATCTTAGCAGATACTAATCCCGCCCACCCGCTCTATACTTTCTTAGAAGGATGTCATTACCCAAAATCAGTCTTATCTCAGTAGCTACTAGCCCCGCCCACCCACCCTATTTTCTTACAGGGTAGGTTATTTAACAAATCAGTTTTGTCTTAGCAAATACTAGCCCGGCCCACCCGCCCTCTCTATTTATAGAGGGTATCTCATTTGCCAAAATCAGTTATCTTGACAGCTACTAGCCCCACTCAGCCACCCTCTCTTTTTTTATAGGGTTTGTTATTTGCCAAAATCGATCTTAATTTAGCAGTTACTAACCCCGCCCACCCGCCCTCTACTTTTTTAGAAGGACCTCGTTAGCCAAAATCAGTCTTATCACAGTAGCTACTAGGCCCGCCCACCCACCCTCTTTTCTTGCAGGGTATGTTATTTGATAAATCAGTTTTGTCTTAGCAGATACTAGCCCCGCCCACCCGCCTTCTACTTTCTTAGAAGGATCTCATTGGCCAAAATCAGTCTTATCTCAGTAGCTACTAGCCCCATCCACCCACCCTCTTTTTTCTCTCGTATATGCAGTAATTTTGAGCATCTTCTCTTTTGTTTAGTTGCTAATGCTTTAATGGATTTTTCTTTTGTTGGTTTTGTTTTTGTTTATAATTTATAAATGTCTTATTAAATGTTTTTTTTATTTATTAATCATTATTAATCATATAGCCATCTTTTCACAACAAGAAATTTACAACATGGTTAAAATGGTACATTTTTGCAAGGAGATATGGATTCGATAATTCCTTATACAAATTTTCCATTTAAAACATGTTTTAAGTTTCTTGTTGCGAAAAGAAGTCTACACATATTAAAACAAAATGGCAAAATGTAAGCCCGCCCACCCGCCCGATCTCAATTGTGATGATTTTTTTATTCGCCGTGAACCAAGGGGGCGGAGCTCAACTGCAAAACACTTACTTCTTTACGAAAAACTAAAAACATTCTTTGAGTATCGTGTTGTTCAAAGAATACTAAGTATATTCAGAAAAAAGACGAAATATAAACCCCGCCCACCCACCCCATCTCAATTGTGATGATTTTTTTATTCGTAGAAACTTAAGATATTTAAAATGGTAAATTTGTATAGGGAAATATCGATTTTGCAATTACGCTCCGCCCCTCGGCTTACGACGAATAAAAAAAAATCATCAGAATTGAGATAGGGCGGGTGGGCGGGGCTTATATTTTGCCTTTTTTTTCTTAATATACATAGCCATTTTTTCACAAGAAACGTAAAACATGGTTAAAATGGTACATTTTTGCAAGGAAATATGGATTCGATAATTTTTTGTACACATTTTCCATTTTAAACATGTTTCAAGTTTATTGTTGCGGAAAGAAGTCTACACACATTAAAACAAAAAGGTAAAATGTAAGCCCGCCCACCCGCCCTATCTCAATTGTGATGATTTTTTTTATTCGCCGTGAACCAAGGGGGCGGAGCTTAAATGCAAAATACTGATTTCTTTACACGAAATTAAAAACAAGTTTTTGAGTATCGTGTTTAAAAAATACTATGTATATTAAGAACAAAAGCCAAAATAAAATGTTTTTATTATTTTTTTGGGACTCCCGAAACCCCCGTACATAACGTACGCCATTTTCCAGACACGCCTCTTTTGACATTAATATTTGTGCATATTATAAATCCGCCCTTTGATAATTAGGTAGTTCATCAGAATTTCAATCTATTAATTTCTCTCCTGATCAATGAAATTTCTAAAAGTATTTGTTGCCAGATTATTTCAGCAGTAAAGAATTTCTGTTAACCTTTAATTAATTTACTGCAGGAATTTCCAGAAATTCACAAAAAATAAACAAAGTAAACTGGCGTTTACATATCGTTTTCATAAATCAATTTAATTGTACATTATCCTAGCGACACCAATTTGTTATTAAATTTAATAATGAAGCTTAAATTACTTCTGAGTGCATGACATTTATTTTATGTTAACACGACACGGTATTATTATTATTAAATGTTAATATGGTCACTTAAGCACTACTGAGTGGTTGACATTTATATTTATATTTAATTTATGGAACCAGTTACGGCTGGAGGTTGTTTAAAACTTCTCAATCTTCCAAAGTTTCCCAAAATAATTAGATTACAAAGTTTTGATCAATAGACTTTAAAATTCGCTTCATATTAAGACTTCAAGTGAATCAAACACTTTTTACTTCCCAAGCGTAAGATTTTCTTTTTATTAAGTGAGATACCAGAATGTGCGGAAAAAGCTAAGTTTAATAAAAAATTGAGCAATTACATGGTCGTCAAAAAAGCGTTGTAAAGGCACCGTCTTTGTGTACTAATAAAATTTTATTGCCCCATTAATGTCATTTAGGGCAACAATGGTCGAACGACCTTCCCGGTAGGGATCATCATCGATCTTTCACAGTTTACATGTATTAAAAAAAAATATATTAAAATAATACTTCGATTAGCTTTTGAGTAAATTAAAAAATCTTACAACAGTCAACACACATAGTCATCTCAGAATAACAAATAATAATAGACGTGCAAGTATTTTCTCGTCTAGTGCACTAGGTGTGTTCCTAGTTCCAAGTAAACAGTAATTACTGATCTTGTCTTGGTTTTTCGTACGTTTCATTTGTAAAGCTGTAATTTTAAAAATGAAACTCATTCAATTTAATTTAATTATACTTTAAAATTTTACATTACAAGTAA